TGTTGAATGCCATAGCTTACAAAGACGCGGTGCCGGTGACATTTTGATGCCACTATCCAGTGACAGTTTCATTTCAATCATTTCGTGTATTTTCTTTGGTCTTTTTATTAATAACAATAGCAGAAAAGAGGAAACGTGGTCAAAATTTTTCACTTGAAGATAAAGAATGTTGTTTATCCTGGCTAGCGTGTCACCACATCAGTTATTAATAATTTTGCAGTACTTATTGTTTGCATATTAATAGACATACTGCCTTTTCTATTCCGGAATAGTTCGGCATCATCTCCTCCTATAATTTATCACATGAATAAATGTAAAGAAGGTTTCTAGTTAATACAATTAAAAGACTTTTGAATAGAGATGATATATATAAAGATTTTAGAGACATCATAGAAAGACGATAGGTGTGCGAACGACGGTGTTCGCTGGAGGCTCAATAAATATGACACAAAGATCTGCCGTATCTGTATGTGTGCGTGTCTATCCATCTTATTAAATCATGTATTATTTCATAGGAGATTCAGTAATAAATGGTTACTCGTAAGGACCTGTGTTTCTCTAAACGCCTAACCTTATAATTGAATTTTTATGTGTGTACAATCTATACATCCTAAAACATTTGGAAATCGAGCTATTCTGTAAAATTCTTCTTTTACTATTTGTTCTTTTTCTTCGGTGTCTGGAAATTGTATGAATTCGCTTTGCTTTTTATAATTCTCCTGCAAGTAGATACACTGATGGGATTGAGATCTGCTACAGATAATAATTGATTGCCTGTTGCATAAAATCTAAGGGCACACAGTAATTGGTTAATCGGTGCCACAGATTTATTTCTTTAAATACAAGTAAGGTTGAGCAGGGAACCTGTATCTTATGAAAAAGTCTTTTTCATCATATTTTTCAAAATCTTTCGATCTTTCACGATAAATACGAGGTCGTCTATACAAATGTCGGTTACTTAACAATTCCATATCTTCAATTGCTTAAAATCTTCAAATAACTAGTGGTTATTATCCATTTTTATTATTTTTTATCTTATTCAGTAGGATAAAATACTGTTTGGTGATTCGCAAAATAACCTAATACTATGTGTCACTTAAACGTTACGGGGTCGTCAATTCATCCCCTAAATTATAAGGGACCCCTAATGATATAGGTGACACTTAAACGTTGGTGAAAACAAAACTCGCGATAAGTGTCCCTTATATTAGCTTAAGAGACACTTAAATTTTAGGGGCTGTTGGTGAAAACGGGCAAAATTCGATTAAATAAATCGTCACCCTTTGATGGTCTCAGTCCACCATCAGGAGATCTCTTTTGCCCGATCACCACACTCACATTCCGTAAATAAATGTAGACTAAAATTTTCCAAACTGACTAATATTTCACGAGCATGACCATTAAAAAAGAATTTAATTTTAAACAATAAACATAATAAATAACCTTGGAAAACAGAAAAAGGAAACATTATGCTAAGTAACATTTAAATTGGATTATTCATAATTTTTACTGGGAAGTTAAAATCGCACTGCTACCAAACTAATTCAAAATATGTATTCTTATATGTTTTTTTTTACCTCGCATCCTTTGTACCTAGTCCTACATGCGTGGTCGACGCAATGTTTTAAAATGTAGTTTTGTATATTACAAAACTACATTTTAAAACCGCATCTGTGTCTTGTGGGTTCCCGACGAGATATGCGTAGGCTCAACATACTACACTAGCGGCTCGTGGATGCAAACGTAAGGACATATATCTTTACATATAAAAATGAATCGCAAAATGTGTTGGTAAGCGAATAACTCAAGAACGCCTGGACCAATTTTGCTAATTCTTTTTTATTGTGTTTGTTATTTTCAAGAGAATGTTCGTATCAAAGAAAATATTAGAAAAGTAGAAGGGAAGATTAGGAAAAAGTGACCCTTTGATAGCGAGATAGTTGGACCCGTGCGAAGCGGGGGCGGGCCGCTAGTTTTTTATACAATTAAATATAGCGTAAGAGTTGTTTTTATGCGGGCAAAATCATCAAATGACTTCTCTCGTGCAGGGTGGGGCAAGAGGAAATGTCAGACTCTTACTGACTAAAAACCCTCTCGTTCCTTCTCCTACTCCGGGCCGAAGCCGGGGTGCCTTATAACGTTTGCCCAGCAACCCCGGCTGATGTTACTCAGGGTAAACGTAGCTTTCCAGCGACAAAAGAATGTTTGTAATCGGCAACAAATTTTGAATCGGCACAAATACAAAACTTTCCTTTTTTACAATATAAAATGTAGATGTAAATTGTACCTTCTTATGTTTATTTTGATTTCAGAATTAATCTGATTTTACTACATAATTATAACTTATTTATTCGCAATTACATCCTTAAACTTTCTTGCAGTGTCAGTAATTTATGCAAATCATGAAAAAGGCTTTTTATGTATCGAAATCGAAATCCACTACTCACGTACGCAAGCTATCATATCATTTACCTTCACACGTGGAAATGAACGACAATTATTAGCCTTTTATTTGAAAAAAAAACATGTTTACAAATATAGTTATCGTGCTATGCCACATCTCACAGCCGTGACGTCAACAACCCGTCTAGGAATAGACCGGAGCTAACCTAGAACTTGATAACGTTAGCGACATATGCTAATGAATTAACTGTGCACTTTTTAACACTGGCAACTTTTTAGAACATAAAATAAGAGCTTCTTTTTTTTTTATTTTTGAGGGGGAAAATAAGCACTTTAAGTGCTCTGGGTGGGGCGAAAGAGAGTGTCAGACTCTTACTGACTAAAAACCACCTCGCTCCTTCTCCTGCCCAGGGCGAGGCTGCGGTACCTTACCACAAATACCGGCTGAAGATCATGACTAAGAGTTGGAAGAGATAAAAAGAGGTCTACATATTCTAGTTACCACTTTTCATTAATCATCTATACTTCTATACTATAATCTATACTAATATTATAAAGAGGTAAAATTTGTAAGTTTGTGTGTAGGGGGTAATCTTTAGAACCGCTGGTCGGATTGCTAAAATTCTTTCACTGACAGATAGCTACAATATTCCTGAGTATAAAACATCACGCTACGATCAAATGGAGCTGAGCAGGGGTGAAACCGAGCGAGAGTAGCTAGTGTTTTATTTAAAAAAAAACTACATGTAAAATAATAATATAATCACATTATTTTCTAACATATTCTATGATTATTAGAAGGAGTTATATTCAATCCAATCCAATAATATACCAACAAAAATAGAATACTAAAATGCAATCGAATTACGAACAGCATCTTATCGAAATGCCAAAACATGACATTTGTGCATAATGCACAGAAGCATAATTGTTATAAATAATTTTCATTCCTATTTTTGTTGTCAATAAATTGAAAATTAATTAATTTTCTGACAAATCAACTAATTTGATTGTTAATGTTACGAGAATATTCTATTTTGGATATTTGAAAAGAAAAAAGTCATAATTTGTTATTAATAATCTTTTATTCTTCTTTTTATAAAAATAGATTTCTGTTCGTTAGTCTCGCTAAAACTCTGAAATGACTGGTCCGACTTTTTGTATAATTTACAAAAAAGATTATGAAGCCATTTCTTAAAAAAATAATAGTATAAAATATGATGCTTTAATCTACATATACTGTGCCATATAGATAATTTTGGTTATCAAATATTCGGACACATTCAAGGGAGGCCCATTCCTTCTCCTACTCTGAGTCCCTGGGGGGATTAGGAGAAACAATTCCACATTACACATCATCAGCTTATAAATGCCTACTGCTGAGCAAAGGCCTCCTCTCACATGGAGAAAGTTTGAGCATTAGTCACCAAGCTTGCTCAAGGCGGATTGGCGATTAAAACTTATAATTAAAAAAAGTTAGGTCCAGATTTCCTCACGATGTTTTCCTTCACCGTATGTCGGTGGTGTCTAAGACTCTTCTTAATTAACTTAGAAAGTACCCACCCTCACCTTCGAACCCTCATGCATGAGAAGCCCCTAACTTTCGGGCCACAACAACGTTATGGAACAATAACTCGAGGATCACATAAAAAAAATTGTCAGTACGGAAATCGGCCAATGACAGATTGCATAGCAGTAAACATTCTGTCTATATATCCGAGAAATACTAATGATGATAATAACACAATAAAAAATAAAATTACCAGTAGACTTATACTTAATTACTGAGCACAAAATAAGTTGTTTAAAGTAATTAGTAGGTTCGCTACATTGCTGTACAAAGGATAAATATTTATGTTTTTTTAACCTTCTGATCTAATTAAATCAAAGTGTATCAGATTACAATGTTGTTATTGTTGTTGTTTAATTATCTTTGTATTTACCGTTACCGGTTCGGTAAATATTCCGTATAAAGCGAGTTACTTAATAATTACATGTAATTAACAAAGTCGTTTTGAATACGTGTTTCTTTTCTGTGTATAATATAGGAAGTAAACTTTTTCGGAAACGAAAATGTTAAAATTAACGGTGAACAATTTATGTTAAAATAGTCTTTCCGATTATAAATAAATATTATTTTTAACTTTTATGTTTTACGGGTTACTCACGTAGCTCTTTGATGAGGAACTCGACTTGTTTCAAGGCACGAAAGGAGCTTATATTCTTAACATATTATTACCGGAGGCCCAATCCTTCCCCTTCCCCAATCCCTCCTCAATCCCTATATCTCCAAATCCCTAATCCCTGAAAGGTCGGCAACGCACTCATAACTCCACCGTTGCGAGTGTCCATGGGCGGCGCTGATTGCTTACCATCAGGTAATCCGTCTGCTCGTTTGCCGACCTATTACATAAAAAAAAAAAATATATATATAAGAAATAGCAGTATGCGTAATTCCGATTCCTTGTTTAATTACAGGTCGACCTAAGAAAAGCGTGTTAAAAACGTTCACCATTCACTATCTTCCTTTGAAATCCTAGTTCTATTAAATTAAAAAAAAAACACTCAACATCACTAAATACGACTTAGCAACTAACCTTAGTGCAGAAGGAACATCCACAGCCGGAGATAAGGGTGACCTTATCAACAGTAGCGTCTTCTAGACAGAGCTTGCAGTTGATGGGCGCTGCCGGCACGAAGCCACTACCAGCACCGTCTAGAGAATACCTGGAGACATGGACAAAGATTATAATAATATTATAAACTAAACATTGCAAGTAATAAAAAGGCTGACTGAACATTTGAGGCTGGCCAATCGGCTGCTGTGCAACGTGTCGCAGGTTTAATTCACAAACTTATTGTTCCAGGTCTGGGTGTATCGTGTGTGTGAAATTGTATGTTTGTAAACGCACTCACGGCACAAGAGAAAAACCTAGTGTGTGACAAACGTTAAAAAAATCTTTAACTACCCTCTGTATGCGATTGTAGGGGAATCCGATAAGACTGGAAACTTTTAGTGGTTTCCAAACACCATTGACTTTCAAAATATCGACAATTCTCCGACCCTCACAGATTGAAGCCGAGATATCGTGCACGTCAATGCATTCATGCACACAGACCATTAGACTAACGACGCAGTCAAAACAGTTATAACTAGATACTTTGATAGCTGCCTGTCAGAGGCATGTCAGGTTTTTTGTCAGAACCAGGTCAGGTCAATCGGTATGAAAGGCTATCAAATGTAAGAGTAGTCTGTCTGCACTACTAGTAGTTTCTATGATGCACGTATGCATGTACATAAATGTTTATTACACTAATTTAGTTTATAAAATAACAGTAATTTATCAACAGTGAGTTATCACGATTTGTAGCTTCGTAACATTTTAATATTTCTTTTACCGGATATTAATATTAATTTGGCACATGCACTTTCTAGATAAGACCCGGTTTATTTTTATTTCTTTCAAGTTTTGGAACACTTACTCACACAAGATTATCTTTTACTATTTCTACTTCTGCACATTTTTAAGTCAGCTGTTATAATAATACCTTGAGCCTCCGGCACCAGCGAGAGACAACAGCGAGGAACAACGGGAGCAGACGGAGGGCGCGCGTAGTCTATTATGAGCCCTTATAGGCTCTGATGACTTCTCGCGGTCGGTTAATGCGAGTACTGTCGAGCATTTCCGAAGACCTGGTGAAAAAGAACAGTTATTATTATTATTATGAGTATTATATTTTAACATTGTTTATAAAAATAGCACTAGCACGAAATACCACTGTCGCTATTGAAGGCTTACTCAGCATAATCGCATACACGTAAAGAAAAGGTCTTAGATTTAGTGTAACCTATTCGGTCTGCTGTTCCCATTGGCAAATATTTATTATTTATTAAAAAAAATTATACTCAATATTTTACTCTTACGACATGGCAGACCCTGTTAATCTCCTAATCAATCTAATCGTCTAAGCACAAAATAACTATAAGTACATCTTTTTCCTTTACTTTCATCCGATGACCTTGAGGAAAAAACGACGAATCCCAAAAGGCCCTCGAAGATATTAGCTTCTCACAAAAGACCAGGCGAGTTCGTTCTATTTGAATAGATTCATACTTCAGTAACTTTCGATCGATCCAGACATTATGCTGAGAGAACCAAAGTTATTCAAGTTCCACGCAAATATCTTAGCAGAATAACTTTGCTGTGCAGGTATGTATTGGCTTTAATATTGCAGTGGTTACCGCAGCTAGTTCGGTTCAGGGTTTGAGTATCAGAACTCAGGTCAAAGGCAGGTGACTTAACTAATGTTTGACTGGAGTTAAACTAGCTAGAAATTCAGATAGAAACTTAATTATGGGTATAATTTATGCAAGATGTAAGTTCAAATGATCTGAAATGGATTATCGGGTTCTGCGGAGATTTTTACCTCTCGAAGGTATGTTAGTGTCGTGGTGGCCCGGAGGTTAAGGAGCCCGCTTCTCATGCATGAGGGTGTGGGTGCGAAACCTGCCAAGTACCAATGTGACTTTCTCCGAGTTACATGTACTTTCTATGATTATTTAGACACCCCTGACATACTGATGAAGGTAAACATCGTGAGGAAACCTGGACTTATATTTTCTAAGTATAAGTTTGAAATCGCCAACCCGCATTGAGCAAGCGTGGTGATTAATGCTCAAAACTTTCTCCGTGTGAGAAGAAGCCTTTGCTCAGCAGTGGGCAATTTTAAGCTGATGATGAAGGTATGTTAAATCAGTACGGATGAGTTGTTTTATCCGCAATCTCTTTCCAAATGGCAATTAGCGTTATGATTTTTATGGCAGACGATGTTTTTTGAGATGCTACGTAAAATTGGATAGCCTAGCTAGATTTAAATGGCACTTATTGATGGTCAAGTTTAGAGAAGAAAGGCAAAAGCCTCAATACAGTTAACGGCTTTAAACAAGGAAAACACATCCATCACACTCACCAGTACCATGAAATAGCTAATGAGTTAATACAAAGACATATTGTTCTGTTTTTAACTGTAACTTCGAAAGTTAACACGGTTATTTTTGCTTTATTGCATTTTGCGGTCGTTTCGGATGACTTTAATGGTATCGGTCGGCCAAGGAGTAAACGGATAGGGGGTAAGCAATCGGTGAACATCTTTTTGGGTTGAGGATTTCAGAATTGAGCATTTAGGGATCGGGGATGGGAAGGATTTGACCTTTAGTGACCTCATAGACATGGCGAAATACAACGCTTTGTATCACGCCGGCGTTCTGAGAGACTATGGCATCACCATTCCATCGCCCCATTGGTGCCGAACATAAAATCACGATTGGGTGATTCCTAAAAATGGTTATATCCTCTAAAATGCCGATGCATGGCTCTCCCACATTTACTATTAATATATATGCGAAAGTTATTATGTTTGGATATTTGTTACTCAATCACGTCAAAACGGCTAGTCGGATCTGGATGAAATTTGGCACAGGCATAGGATACACTCCGGGATAGGACATAGGCTAACAACATCGTTAACTTAGCACGCGGGAGGAAGCTAGTACAATATAGTTCTAGAATTGTAGAAATCACATATGTATAAATTAAAGATATTTATTCGGCGAAAGGCATGAATGCCAATGAAAAAAAAATACAAATGTCAATCAATTCAATCAAACATTATAGTTTTACATTGTCTTTTAAAGAAAATAGAATATCGATTTCTACAAAACACGAATATCGCCAAGTCAATGAATGCAGTATGATTTTTTTATTGCCCAAAAAGTTTGATAGAATATTTTATTTGAATTTTGTTCCCAATTTTACCTTATATAAATTAGTAATAATAAAATACCAACATATAAATTCTAGAACAATTTAATGGCTGTTTGGATATTAATTTCCGAGCAATCAATTGTAAGTTATCGTCCATTAATTTGAAAAAGATGAAATCATAATTATAATTCAAAGGCACCTTTAATTTAATATGAATTTTTCAAGCGTTCTTGGAGATACATTTTCCTCATCTATACTTTTTTCTAACCTAAACTTACACTTGCAGCTAAATTCATAGTTGTTTTGTTTACGAACAGTACTTAACAGATTTTTTGGGAGTTCTAACATTATAAAGTAACAACCCCACATATGAATTGGTTTTTCAAAAAGAGCGATGCCATCTTTGGCTTGTCATCCTCTAGTGAGTGCGTTTACAAACATAAATTTACACATACACATCATACCCGGACCCGGCAAAACAATTTGTGGACTATACATAAGGAGATGTTCCGTGCAGCAAACGAACCTGCGACAGGTTGCACGGCAGCCACCACCATAACAACAAATAAATATAAAATACCAAGCAACAGCAATACTGCATTACTGTCTTATAAGGAAATACAGCATTAAACCTGATCACGGTTGTATCATAAGGATGTACAGAACCTGAATAAAGGACCTTTCGCGAGCTTTCGAACTTCACTTTCGAATTCGTGAAAGGTGAACTTTTGACGGTCAAGTTAAGAGTTAACACGATGCATACAGCGAAAGAGGAAAAGATTACAGGTTGGATTTATTTATATATTGATATTTAAATTTATGCTTTTTGGAAGGCTTTTGTGCTTAGTGATTTTATTATTATTGTTTACCTAATGCGTAGGTACGTCATTGATGATTTTGAGAATCGGAGACAATCTGGGTGCCTATTTTTATTGTACCATCTTCAAAGGTTGTTATTGAATTACTAATAGAAAAATGCAAATTATAGGAAGATATTAATAAAAAAACTGGTTAAAAACCTTACTGTTTTCCGCTTAATAAATACGTAGGATAGGTACTACTAAAAAGAGTATATTCATTCAAGGAAATACCAACCAAAGTAGTACAAATCAACGAAAACCTCCCCATGACTTCTCAGAAATTCCATTAAACTTTAACTAAAGATGCTTTATCTGAGATTTCAATATTATAGGTACAAGATATTCCAGAAATCGCTCGAGGAAGACACGACACAACAAAAAAAACCATCACAATAAAAATAGGAGACATTCACCTTTTCGCTATATTTCGCACGTGGCCTGATCGAAATTCTTGCGAAAAATATAATATCGTTCTTATAGAAACATAGCACGGAGAGGCAATATGTGAGAAAATATAAAAATTCAATCGTTTCGCTTTGAAAGAGAGACAAATATTGACTGGAACGATGTTATTTCAATTACTAACGTAACTTCGGAGTCTCAAAGGGTTTTGTAAAATGATATTGCTGTACGCGTACACCTTGTTTTACGATGTTCAAGGATTCAATGGTAAAGCAGATATAGAATAGTTCTGTGCAGATATTGGGATCATATCACTACATAGTAAAAAACAAAGTCGCTTTCTCTGTCCCTACATACGGATTTTAGAGAAAGAAGAAAAAGGTTTATACGTTTATTATATTTGTTTAATAACATTAAATTAAAAGAAAAAACGTGGCCCTACAATAGGATTTTCTCCATGGAGTTGTATAGTTTTGTCGTTGTTACTTGCCCAGTGCCGAATAAAGCAATTTTTTCAATATTTTAAATAAATAAATAAGTGTATGCTACTTTATTTTCGGCACTGCTACTCGTATCTAATAAATAAAAATAAAAAATAAAGAAAAACACTAGTTATTAATTCAGTTATTTTTCACAAAATAGGTAACTGTCAGAAAACAAGCGTTACATTGAATACTAAGTATTTTTCATTGCGAAAGTAAAAGACGTCAATGTCATTGTCTACGAGATGTCAAAAATGACATTTATCAAAATTGTGACGTCACACTTCTATCGAATAAGACTCCATGAAGTTACCTATATTTTTGTGTCACTATATGTTTAACTAAGCATACAATATTTTGTTTTGGAAATTTTCGAACCCAATTATTGAAGTGTCATTTTTATAAACGAAAGTGTCAATGTCCTAACAGTTTGGTTAATTATTCAAGAGAATTTAATTAATGCTATGTTAAGGATAAATCCCTTTTAATTTGTTTTGTGTACTCATGTGGGTCGTTATGATAGGAAGGTCCTGCATAAAGGTCAAGCTTAACAGTACCGACAATACCAAAAACATATTTTAATGTTATTAATTTAGAGTTGAAGTTTGTTTAAAAGTAATTATAATGGAGATGAGTTATTTGGTCAATGTTTTGTGGTTACGTGAAGGGACACACCAGTGTGTACTGAACTACGTAATACGATGTATGTAAGTATAAGTCGTTTCTTTTCTTTATTTCTTAAACCCAAGCCATGGTGGTGTTTTCATAGACAGAGTTCAATGTTAAGTTCATAGACTCGCTTCTGGACATAGATTCAGCTTAACCCGTGACGTCAACGACCACCTCTATTACGCCTTATAAAGAACAGTATGGTTGGAAGGAGGACAGCATGGTGACCCCGAGGTTAAGGCTTCCGCTTCACATGAATGAGGGTGTGGGTTTAAAACCTATCAAGTTCCAATGTGACTTTTCCGAGTTATATGTACTTTCTAAGAGTATTAGGTTGAAATAGCGAATGCACTTACATAAGAGGTCTTCCCCATATGAGAAGAGGCGTTTTTATGTGATAGGTCGGCAAACGAGCAGATGATGATTACCTGATGGTAAGCAATCAGCGCCGCCCATGGACAACCGCAACAATAGAGGAGTTACGAGTGCGTTGCCGACCTTTTGGTGATTAGGGATTTGAAGATTTAGGGATTGGGGCAGGGAACCTCACTCACACAACGCTGGGGTTGTTTCATGCCGGTTTTCTCTGAGGCTGTGGTATTAAACCGGTCGAGCCGACCCATTGGTGCCGAAGCACGGCTTACTCAGAAATGGGTATTGTGGTTTATGATGTGATGTGATCATTGGAATTCGGTGTTATGCGCGTCTATATCGCAAATGCAAAAAATAAACAAAACTAAAACAGAATAAAATATTAATCCTACTTCACAAAATAACAAATAAATAGTTGCTAGCATACGAGTTCTTTCAAAAAAGCCAATTTGCGTTTTAAAACAATATTTAAAATTCGAACAACAATATGGCGTCACGAGTAGCCCGCTAATTGGCAATCACAGACCCTTGACACATGCACACAAGAGCGTGTGAGTTGACGAGCCAATTCGGTGTGTTGGTAATTTATTAATGGCAATATATGGCGCTTCCCTGGGGCAATAGAGCCTTGTATGGAAGCCGTCCGTAATTCTGTTTATGAGATTACTGCGAGGCCATGTTGTTTTTTAGTGTTTATTATACGCTAAACTTTGGCACTAAAAAAGTAGAATTTAGTCTATAAAAGTTTAGTCTCAAACGTTGAAAATGATGATGCGTAGATATAATTATGTGTGTAACACAGTTAGGACACAGACAAAGGAATGCCTTAAAATGGGGTAACGGTAAAAAGATGCAAGTATGTTAGTTTCTATAAATTTTGAGGTCGGTTAATAAGTAATGTATTTTAACTAGCCTATTATAGTTGGTGAAGTTAGGTGCTGGAAAATAGATCGGCAAACGAGCAGACGGATTACCTGATGGTAAGTAATCAGCGCCGCCTATGTACACCCGCAACGAGGAGTTACGAGTGCGTTGCCGATCTTTTAGAGATTAGGGATTTGGAGATTTAGGGATTGAGGAGGGATTGGAGGACGAGATGGATTGGGCCTCCGGTAACCTCACTCACACGGCGAAACACAACGCTGTGGTTGTTTCACGCCGGTTTTCTGTGAGGCCGTTGTATCAATCTGGTCGAGCCGACCCATTCGTGCCGAAGCATGGCTCTCCCATACTTAAAGTTAGCACGAATAGAACTATTATATAAACTAGAATTCAACTTTGAGAAAGGAAAACAAAACAATCAGCAACATATCCGTCATATGAGAAATCTTCTTGGTATCATTAAAACCTGTTTATAATCTGATACTACAGCTCTGGGCATCATAAGTATGCTAAATGGAAATAATCTTCAACACATATTTTCAAGTCGTTTTTAAAACTTATATTGTGATTTTATAAAAAATTGTTATGATATAAGGAAGGCAATTATCGTCAGGTAATTTGGTGTGAATGATGGAAATCAATAACACACGGCAAAAACTATATTTAATTGTTACCTACATACTAAGGAGGCAACAGATGCATTTTTTTATTGGATAGGAACGATTATAGGTTTCAGTTGATTGTACGCATTCAGATCCGCCAATGGGGAGGGGGTCGCCAACTACAAGAAATTACAAGTGCGTTGCAATTCCTTGTAGTATTTTTTCAAACCTATCGCAGGTAATTATAATACTTATCCCTTTAAAAAAATACTTTAAACGGTTGACAGCGTAGACCGGGAGACGGTGAAATATTTTTCATTAAAACATTTTAAATGTATTTGTAAATAAAACAAACTCACAAGAGAAGAGAATTCAGATCATTTAAAATGTGGTATGTTAAACACTTTTTTAGATTAGCTATAAAACCTGGTTTAACTATAGATTGGTTCTTTACCACTTTTATTCTCAAAATGGCCATTAAGTATATTGATGCGGAGTAACTTACTGTTTGATATACTGACCTTCAAGTAAGGGCTGTGGTTGCGACAGCACGGAGTCCCTCGAGGCAGCCCTGCGGACTGGCTTCGCTGGTCGTGCCAAGGATTTGAGCCCTCCACTCAGAATCAGTTCTAGGGCTCGTCGCCCACCGGGCCCATTCGCACCTGCTCCCATCTGTAGAAGAAAGAAGTAAGTTATAATTTACACTATAAAATACTTAGTTACTTATGTGACAAATAAGTTCTACTTCCACATGTCAACATTTAAAAAAGATTAATTATTATTATTACGATTCTGAAATGAAAATTATCGACGAGCCGACTCACTCGTGCCGAAGCTTGGCTCTCCCACACTTATGTAACACTTTGTCAATATAGATATTTCATATAGGCATGTCAATATTAAACATAAAAAAACATGATTGAGATACAAATAAAAAAAGGTAAACGCAGGTTACGATTTTTTTGCTAATTAAGGGGAAAATATTAATGAAGAGTTAATATTTTTTTTCCTAATTAAGTATTTCTTATAATTTTCTGATACAAAAAAGGTATTAAATGCTCGGTTATTAACACAGAGCTATAATGACGAAGGGCAATCGAATTACTTTTGACTCATAAATTCTTATTTGACCTTCGGAATCATAATAAATTGGACCTTTGTTGGGTTCCGTTCCCAGAAGGTACCTGCAAAGAGATTCAATTACTAATCCCCTATTTCGGAAAGGCTGTTCAAAGCAAAACGTGATTTATCAATAATCAAATATATAAAAAACTCTGATGGGTTGTTATTTTGAATTGACAACCTGTAACCAAATAATTACTTTTAAGTCATTTTCTCGTTTAATGACCTTATTTTAATTTCTCATCGCCTAATTACATATATTGAACGCCAAAATTAAACAAATGAATCCAAAAACGAAATTATCTACGGAACCGTCAATATAAATCTATTTTGGGGTCTTCGATCATATGGGGTCAGCAGCCAGACGTTCATTCTTTTTCAGAATAAATTCCAAATTTCGAAAACAATAATCCATTTACTAAGGCAAACAACAACTGCGCTGTAAAAAAAATAAAAAGTTTATTCTACGAAAAATTTTCATAAAACCGCACAGGTCAATGATCTAGAAGCAGTAATAAAAAATGCAAAATTTTTCATTGCAAAGTCAAGGTCAAAATTCTGACTCATTAAGGTGACCAGAATTGTTTGATCTATACGACTGTCATTATCTGTATGCAAGCTACGCAAGTAATGGAAGTTTATATGGCCTGCTTGCGTGTATCGTTGCGTTAAATCAAAGTGACGTCAAAAAAACTTACGCACAACTTACTATGACGTTTTAATATCTTCGAAGAGAGCATGTGTGAAGTCCATTGACTCGAAGAGTACAGAACTACAGAATATAATTCTTAGAACTAATTCGACTTTCGTTTTCACATCATAAAATGAGATATATATTTTTTACGCTTATTAATATGGACTTAGTAACAGTCATATAAATAAAAGTATATTTTTCACACTGACCGGATTTAATTGAGGTACTTGACACATTATTTGTACATGATTATCGTCAGCACAAAAAGTTACATATAATTTGCGTCCCGGTACAACGATCGCTTCGTGACCGTGTTATTAAAGCATGGTTAACATAAAGGTGCGTTCCGACTCCTTTTTCGGACTTCAACGAGAATTTTGGCTGCAGGGATGATGCATCGAGGCATCACAGAACATCAACAACTTGTTGTGATGTTTATGTGAATTTATATGTTCGTAAACGCACCACTTCAATTTTAAATTTACTAGTTCTGAGTAATGAAACCTTAAAAGCTCAATATTCAACAAAAAAAAAACAATCATAAAACAACCTGTACTACTCACAGTACTCACACAAAAACGCACACCTTGACATTTCCAACGCATCAATAACAAAACCAAGCCCTACTAAATATGTACCTACTCACAAATACACGAAACTCTTTAGTGTAAATCCAGCTTATAATAAACGCGAGTGTAAATATACACAAAATGTACTAAGTGCCGTCGGTTTACACGACGCTAATATGAAAAGCTAATTGGATAAGGATTCATAGCGTTCATTTTAAGGTTACCGTGTCAGTTCCTGTTCCGTTAAAAAAGAGTAATTCTATACGCCGAGGTATAATACATTATGACGTTGGATTGTAGTTTGTACGTGCGAAGGCCGCGGATATGGTTGTCAGAGTCAGAAGTTACAAGTAAGATGATATCGATATAAAGTTCGCTGTCTTCGGGACTATACTGAATTGAGGGACACAATGTGACGAAATATTTTGTGATTCGTATTTTTAAGATTTTATGAAATGAATAAGTTATTCATAACAATATCCGTTACATTTTAAAATCTGTAAATGATAGGAAATATATCTGATAAAGATAATATAGCAAAGAGTTGATATCTATTACAAATGCGTTGCTGTATGACGAAATATATTATCAGACCTTCTAGAAGTCAGTTTAGAAAATCAATATTAAAGTAAGTAGGAACATATTGAAAAGAAAATTAGAAATGCGATTTAAAATCCTTTTTATACACAACATGTTTATACTTATTATATTATCTTGTATATAGAAAGGAATAAAGTGGGATTACAAACCACTCACGAAAGTTCTGTGGAAAATATGTTAAGTGTATTACCACTCGCCACTCCTCACTTTAAATCAATCCCATTAAAGCTTATGTGAAGAATATTCTCCTTTATTTCACTGTTGTTCCAATGACCTGATTTTGTTTTATTTTTAATCAAAACAATAATAGTGAGGTTCAATATTCATTTCAGCATTGAGGTTTAAATATAATTTTCTGAAGTTCCAGGGCACAATTTATTATGCTGACCAGAGAATGAACTAGACAACCCCTACTCGGTAATCGCACTTTCAACCACAAAAACAGGTCGAGAATGGAGAGAATAAGAAATCCTGAAAAATTCTGGTGCTTATCTACATAATGCTATAACTCGGATTTCCATGCTGCCTGCAAATCATGGGAATTACAGCGTTTGCTTTATAGCGAACGTCTAATGGTGATAATGATAAAAAGAACCAACCAAAAGAGACCTCTTAATTTCTATACTAATATTATAAAGAGGTAAAAGTAAGTCTGTAAGTTTGTTTGCAGGGGGTAATCTTTAGAACCACTAGTCGGATTTCCAAAATTCTTTCACTGATAGATAGCAATATTCCTGAGTGCTTTAGGCTATAAAACACCACGCTACGATTAAATGGAGCCAAGCAGCGGGTGAAACCGCGCGAGAATAGCTAGTAATTAATAAAGAAAATCTCCCAGTCTTATGACCATCCAAAAACACGTTCTAAAAATTGCTTTGGAATTATCAAAACGCCAAGCGCCATAATGTCCCGCGACCCCGGCTCGTAGCAAGAGAAGAAACGGGATGGTTTTAGTCAGTAAGAGTCTGACTCTCACTCTCGCCCCATCTAAGGCGTGAGAAATCAGTGTATGATTTCCCTAACTAAAAAAAATCAAAGCTTTGTGACTACCCTAACTATCAAGGCCTTTGTTTTGTAAGGGGAAAAATCATCAAATGACTTCTCTCATCAAATGACTTCAATGATGAAAGGGATCATCATTTCAAACATAGAATGATTTTGCCCAACTCATAAAAAAATCAAAGCTTAAGACAAGAGACAACCCTAGCTGTCGTAACGGTACAGTCGCAAGCTACGTCGGTCGAGTCAGATGAATGGTACTTACATCTACCATAAGCGGGCAAACAATGCCATGCGGTTTTGAAACGGTGGGTTTGAACTTTGTTTGTATGTAAGGAGGATGTATGTGTGTAATGTTTGTCTAATTGCAACACATCCCCGCAAAAGAACTGAGCGAGACTTTTCAAGTTCGGAAATGTACACCCACAATCCACTAGAGGAGTCACAAACTCCTCTAGTGGATTGTGGGTGTCAATATATTTGTCATCAGGTGAATCGCCTCCTTGTTTAACCCCAGATTCCTTAATAAAGAAAATGTGGTTGCACGTATATCATATAGTTAAAAAATAAAGTTGACGATTTTTTTTGTTTTTTTAAAAAAACGTTGCCCTACTTTAGGATTTTCTCCTGTGTTGTGGGTGCGTTTACAAACATACAATGTCACATACACATGACACCCAGACCCGAAACAACAATTTTTGGATCACACAAAGTGTTGTCCCGTGCGGGAATCGAACCCGAGAAGCGTTGCACGGCAGCCAGTTGCCCAGCCACCGCACCAACCGTGCAGTCAGATTTTTCTTTTATTCTAGGTAGATGGGACGGGTACCGCTTTCGGATCACGCACAATAAGGAACCGCGGCCTAGAGTAGAAGGACCGGGAAAACGGTGGTTAATCAGTAAAAAAATCATAAAGATTTGATGATTTTTTCTCCTCAAAAAAAAGAGGTTAATATTTAACGGTAGAAACTGACTGATTGTGGCTCGCCGCCCGACCAGAACCAGACACGAGCGTACGGGCGGCGCGCAGCGTTCCGCGCTCGCCTCAAAGAACCAATAGACCACCACAGACGGGGCCCTATAGGCCTGATGTTCAGCCGGGGTTGCGGGGTAAGCGCAATGAGGCACCGCGGTCTCGGCCCAGAGCAGGAGAAGAAGCGGTGGGTTTTTTAGTCAGTAAGAGTCTGACACTGTCTCTCGCCTTACCCTGGGCGGGAGAAGTCATTTGATGATTTTCCCCTAACAAAAAAAAGGCACTGACTGATTATATTACTTGTTTTTTTTTTAACTTCTTAACCTCTATTTACATATAATACGTATTTATTAATAGTAAGTTATTCGACGGTACAAGTATTTACATGATCTAGATTCCAAAGGTAGGCTAGTTTCCAGTTTCAAGTTTCCAGACGTAGGTAATAGTATTTATTTATGTAAAACTTCAATCAGTTGTGTCTATTTTCCAACTAGTTAAACACTAAATTGATTATTCTATTATTGTTAATTTACAAACATACTTTACAATCGGGTAGTTTCCTAGGTCAAAAATAAATTAATTCGACATTTCAATACAATAAAATGTTGGAAAATAACTGTACTTTTATTCATCGATCGATCGATACAGTGAATTTTTGATATTATTTAGCTAATTTTTAAGAAATAAGTTAATTATTTGACGCAAACAAACTATGACGTCATAACTCAGTTATTCATACAAATTGCATAGAAAAGTATCGTTTTTGACATTTGGATAAAAGTATTGAATTTGACTAGTTGGAAACTCCCGTATTCTTAAACTTTGTTTCACTAACGGCTCAGCTCAGAGTATGAGAAGGAACGGGGTGATTTTTAATCAGTAAAAGTCTGCGGTTACTTTAACACCATCCGCAGTGGGAGAAATCGATGGATGATTTGATTCTCACGATGTTTTTCTTCATCGCATGTCAGTAGGGATTAAATAATCTTATAAAGTACGTAAAATGCGGAAAGAAAACAGTCACAAACACACTGGTAGTTGCAAGGTTTCGAATCCGACGCCTCATTAATGAGAAGCAGTCAACTTCGAGCAAGTACGACATCTAGGTGAAGGATGGAAAGATACCTTAGGTAGCCTTACACATCGTTAAATAACTCTGTATATTAAGCGCATCGTCTGATAGGCCATTCTGATACACTTCGTATGCGAAGTACCTTCATCGTCTTCCTTGAGATGATTGATTGATTGATGCCAAACACGTGTGAGACAGTTCCACGATAGATCTGGGCCTTCTTTACCACAAAAGCCCGAGCTCCGAATTGAGGCGTTATGTATCGTTTAAATATTCAGGATTATCAGAAGATCCAATATGCCTAAAAAGTCCTTTTTATTAGGCACTTCTTACGACACAAGCGGGTTGACACGGTAATGAATGGCAAAGAAACTGTTAAATGCATTTTCCTCTACTCTGCACTTCAGAAGCAGTAACCTTCATAAATACGTCCCTGGTAACTAAAAGGCTCTTCGAATTAACATGTACGCCACGTTTCTCCAAGAAACTAGATCAGAATGTCTCATCAACATCATCGTGCATCACCAAGTTGTATATAGACTGTGGATTCATTTGTTTTACTTGTGACTTGTGTCCCTTGCATGACAAATTGGTTGTTGCACCATAGTGTTTATGTATTTGTATGTTTATCTTTTGTTTGAAGGAGCAATACCCTTCTTTCATGTTAAGCATGGGTTGGAAACTTAAGTAGTTTTGTGTGACGAACTGTGATGGTGTTTATTGTGATCATTATGTATGGATTGTGTGACTTTTCTTATTTGCTTGGACAAAGAGTTTTGAGTAAATATATGAGTATGTATTTATTTATTTATAGCTGTATCATAGAGTGTGTTTTGTAAGTTTCTGCTAATAATCTTAACAGGCATATTTCATTTTATCGACGTCTTCCATCCATACAATAAACAATAAAAAGTGTAATCACAATCAGCGCAGCCGTTTAGGTAGACAGCACGCACGTATAGAAGATTAGAAATAAGTACGTACACGTCAACATGACAGTGACGTCTTGCTGTTACGAAATGACGTTTATGTTTCATTTTATGTGATAGGCCTCAATCCAGTAGGTGTTTTAACTGATGGTAAGCAATAAACGCCGCCCTTGGACACCCGCAACAACGAAGGAATTACGAGTGCGTTGCCGAACTTTTGGGGATTAGCTATTTGGAGATTATGGGATAGGAGAGAGATTGGGGGAGGGGAAGCACTCACAACAACGTGAAACAACGCTGTTGTTGTTTCACGCCGGTTTTCTGTGAGTCCGTAGAATCACTCCGGTCGAGCGGACCCATTCATTATGTCCAAATTAAACGAAAAAAATGAAAGCTACGCCATATTGTGACTAAAGAGTAAAAATACAGGTACAAAGCTGAACTGTTTAAGATTCCCAACAAGACCTTGTTACCTTGCAACATTTATATGGGACGTGCGACACCCATTGAATCCTGATGCGTTGACGCAAAACCATGTAACATCTTCTAATGAATGCAGACGTGGGTTATTTGTTAATATTATAGCTTGTATACTGTTTTGAATAAGATAGAAAACTTGGGTGGGCGATAATAACGGCTGATACTGATGTATAGAATAGGCTGTACAGCTTATATGGGTTTTAATTATAAGAACCTACTCATGACCTTTTCATTAGGCGTAATTAAGACATTTAGGCTCTATTCAGCAATGTCTAATGACATTTCTGTAGGACAAAAGGACGGACGACGCAGATTTTCTATACTTAAATTATACTTTGTTAGTTTGAACACGCTGATGTCAGAAAATACTGGCTTGAATGGGAAAACATAATAGAAAGAAATTTGCCGATAAGGTTAAAGATAGCAGTATTCCTGCAGTCTCGTATTTATTAATATTACTAATATTATTCTTAAAGCGATACATAGAAACAATAAACACCCAATTTTAAGATATTATACACTTTATCTTTACATAAAGAAGATTTTAAACCTAAAGACCTTAATTCAAATTGCCCTTTTGACTACAAGACTAACAAAACCAATTAGTATTACTATTTATAGCTCACCTACGTATGATTAGTAAATAGAAAAACATATAATTTTCTAACATAGCGACCGGAACGTTGCGTAACAAGCAAGGTAACGCGCTAACACTATATTTATAAAATGGTTGATATAACAGCTATACATACATTTTCGATCGTAGGGATTCCTTATTCCTATGGCTTTTTACATAGGTTCTCGGCTAGCTCTTCCCGTGACTCCACTTGTGTTAGTACAGATTAATTTTACCACCGCACCTTCGGCCTGGAGAAGAAGAATGAACGGGGGTGTTTTCAGTCAGTATGAGTTCGACACTCCCTCTCGTCATACCCTAGTGGAGAGAAGCCTTTTAATGATTTTGTCCCTCCTCTAAAATGCCCGCGTAAAAGATAAAGATTCTGGAATTTGATTCCAGACTGTTATCTATTTCTGTGCTAAATTTTGACTGTCAATTTTTCTATGAATGTACGAGACTGTGTTTTTTGAGTAAAATACATAAATTAATTACATTGTAAAGCAAATAAATTGGAAAAAGAACTATAATAATGTCAAAACAATAATAAAAAAAATCGAATTTCAAACTGCAAATCAAATCATAAAAACATCTGCGTTTGAACTCCTTTCTAACCATTCCACTTAATAATTCCGCACTATCCCTAACTATCAAAACAATTCTAAGTAGCCCCACAGATTTCAATTACAACTTACACCTCCTACCTTCGTAAATAAACTGCTTAAGTACACAACACAGCACAGAATGTAAATATTTACATTTGATTTGCAATAGCCAGCCTTTACTTAACTTGAGATTCTAAGAATCCGTCCGTCCTGTTGTTGTGTTTGATTTATTAATATACAAATCTCTACTTAGTATGGCACGTGTAAGTTTGAGAATTGATAAAGGTTAATTTAATCATTTTAAAAACCAGATAAATTATCTACATAGGTATTTATATGATACCAGGAGCGCGCTCTTTTTTTTTGAGGAAGAAGTCATCAAATGGCCTTTACTGCCCTTGCTAGAGCGAAGGGGAGTATTAGACTCTAATTGACCAACCTAGTTCCTTCTCCTGCTCCGGGCTGGGCCGCAGTACATAGCGCTTGCAATCACGGCTGAAGCCGGCCCTAGCTATGCCTTTTTTTGTGAGGGGGAACCCGGGAGGGAGTGTCACACTCTTACAGACTAAAAACCCCCCCTTTCCTTCTCCTGCCCTGGGCCGAGGTCGCGGTGCCTCCTTGCGCTTACCTTGCAACCCCGGCTGAACATCAGCCCGGTTATGTTTTTATAGGGCTCTGTCTGTGTTGGTCTATCGGCTCTTTGAGGCGCGCGCTAGCCCTAGCTTCGCCTGGGTGCTATTTTCCAGGGCCATAACCTGCCATTAAATTAAACCCGAACTATACTGTCAAGCATAATGTATGTAACATAATACCTGATCAACAACCCAGGAAGATAGCAATCCTCAGAAGTATAAGACAGATCAACAACAAGATGTTGACGTTACTTTCGATCTATTCTTACCATATAATATTTTCTAGAACTCTCCCTGCATACTCACTGCATGTACACTCAAGTGTCGCAAGGCAAAATGAAGAAATTTTACCAACATTTCTCACATAGTGCCAGAGAACACCAGGTCTAAAAACTATTACCACAGTACTGCGTCCACACAAAGGTTGCCTAGTAGAATTCGCTTTTAGCGATTAGGCCGCCTTTGTACTATTTATGTATACCCATGTCCTAACTCCGTTGGGGTATATTCTTTATTATTATAAGTAAGTTAATGTTTCCTTAAAACATTTATTACACGCGGGAGTAGGATGATAATCACCTTAGCATGATATGATAGGTATCACACACAGAGGTCGTAAGGTAGGTCTTAAATTTATAGGATTTTATTTCTAATACGATAATTATTGACATTTCGCTAAAAATCTATTCCACTTGTCACAATTCTTATTATCAAGAAATGAAGTGATCTTTAAAAATATGAATCGTAAATAATAAATAATAGCTTTAATTACATATAAAAATGCAAAATGCAGTCCTTGATACTTGATAACATTAAGAGTGCATTATACAAGATGTGGATTGGAACATTGTTCAATTAAAAAGAGGAAATAATAAGTCTTATAGAGGATTAGAGGTTCAGGACATTCTAAGATTAAAGACCAAAATGCCATGTTTTTGGTCAGTACAAGTCTATAAATCTAGAAATGTTATTTCGGATTTACGAAAAGGTGTTCTTGGCACTTGATGACTAGGCGAAACAGGGTGATTATTGGGTAAAAATAACCAAAAAATACTTCCTCATCAAATGCCAAGGATTTCGAAACGGATTATTTTTAATTCACAGCTGATGTCTTCCGTCTGGCATGCATCCAAGAGATTAAACTCTTTCGTGATATGAGAGGGCACTAAGAACAGATGTTTCGCATCCGAAAGCTCGCATTGCGGAATTTATTCAAATAGTATATTCAAGTTAAATGTTTATGTACGTTATAAACATTGGCTGAGAAGTTCCAGCCAGATTTCTAGGCAACAATTTGGCTAGACGTAGTGCAACGTAGCAATGACGTCATATCATTTATTTACACGCCATTTTTATTCTGAAATTGTTGGCATATATAGCGAACACCTGATGGTAAGCAATGACCGTCTTTGGGCACCGGACGATTTACAAGTATGTTGCCGGCTTCTAAAGAAGGAGTACGCTCTTTTCTTGAAAGTTTCTCCGTTTTGTAGAGTGCCATTCGACTATTCGAGACATCGTGTTGGTACCGAGTGTTTTAAAAAGCTGAAATCTAATGTATTTCAATACTTTCAAGCAAAAACAACACCGAATTCCACCTCATACGATCCTTCCTCTATATTCTATATTCTTTCTTTATGCTAGACCCGTAAGAGAATGATATTACTTTATATGTATTCTATCTGTATAAGTATCTCAACGAGCCAATAGACCACCACAGACAATGCCCTATAGGGCTGATGTTCAGCCGGGGTTGCAGGGTAAGCGCAATGTAGCACCGCGGCCTCGGCCTAAAACAGGAGAAGGAACGGAGGGGCGTTTAATCAGTAAGAGTCTGGCACTCTCTCTAGCGTTAACCTGGACGGGTTGTACTGTGTGTGACACTTCTCCTTATAAGTAGCGCAAGTTATTATAATAATAGTACTTAATTAAAGACGTTCAGACAAGTAACACGCGTCTTATTACCACCTACATTGCAGGAAGAAGCATTTGATGATTTTCCTCTGACAAAAAAATCTACTTTTAAAAGTATATATAAGGAAGATAATTTATTGCATACTGAATTAAAATTCCGCTAAACGGTTAAACACAAGATTAAACAAATTCGTTTTAATTAAAACAATTTTGATTACTTTCGTCGTTCGTAGAAAACGTTCGTGCGGATATTTTAATGCCTTATTTAGTATAATTAACGTTTACACAGAATTTCCATACAGTCGACCGAGAGACCTTTTCCTGTAGGTATGTCGCGAAGGGCGAAAGCACGTAAATTGGATTTCTTGTATACGTACATTTACGGCAATATATCTACTGAAATACTATCTTCTATAACTAAAGCAGAATAAGTTCGCGGCTCAATTCTTGCAGTAAACCCTATTTAACTGCATTTTATTAGAACAGGGTTAATCAAACCAACAACAGTTGTTAGAATGCCAAAAGATTAAATAAAGCGCATTATTTCATGCCGGCGTTCGCACTCCGACTGTCTTACTATTGTGTCTCGAATTAGCACGTTTAAAACGTGTTTTTTTTTGAGGGCAAAATCATCAAATGACTCCCCTGCCCAGGGTCAGGCAGGAGGGAGTGTCAGACTCTACTGACTAAAAACCCACCCGTTCTTTTTCCTGAGCAGAGGCCGCGGTGCCTCATTGTGCTTAATGGCAACCCCGGCTGAACATCAGCCCTATAGGGCCACGTCTGTACGATTAAAACGTATCGCCTATAGTAAAACGCACCCTATAATCCATTATATTAAAGCAGGCTATTATTAAAAAACCTTGCCTGAAAGAACAACACAACCATAACCTAGTTTACGTCGGCAAATTACTGGTCGATCGATCGCACACTTGATTGACACTAAACATGACATTACCGTGTCATTTGCAATTCAAATACTATGGAAAAAAATGAAGCGTATTGTTCCGGGTACCTGCGAAGTAGTTAGTGTTATTAGTTCGCAAAAGGACTAAATTTTCCGAATGCTATAGGCTATAAAACATCACGCTACGATTAAATGGAGCCGAGCAG